TAGCTCTGAAACAAGTTTCAATCTTGTGTCTGCTGTTTAAAATAGAACCTAGTGTTAATTTGTTTGCTCATTCAGCAAACACTAATGGTCTAGTGGTTAGGAGCAGAGGAAACTTGTCATATACTGGCTGTGGGACTTAGGGCAGGTGTCTTAGCCTCTCTGAGCCTCAGTTCTTTCATCTGTAAATAGGCAGGAATAGTAGGACCTATTGCATTAATGAAAGAATCCTGGTAAGCCTTAGCCCAGTGCCTGGCAGATAGCATGCCCTTGATGAAGGTTCGCTATTATTCTCTCATGTCTGGGAAAGAGTTCGAGACTTGTGTACAAAGGTGGACGGCAATGCTTAACCCTGCATGGGAGGGGAGGCCCAGAGAAGTGAAGGAGCATTTCCAAGGTCACAAGCTAATTATAAATGGTAGAACTAGCAAAGAGTGTGAGCCGCAGGACCCAGCCCTTTCCATGCGTCGCCCTTGCAGGGGACTTGAGGGTAGATTAAATCCACTTTATCTAGAGGCTTGCTAATGGGATTAATTTAATCATTAGCACCTTTCCCATGAAAGCTGGGGCTCTTATAACTCCTCATTCCTGTGCCTCAGATTCTTGGGGAGACCAGCATTGTTTGGGGGGCCTTAAAGCTGGGGTCATATCTCCAGGAGCTCAGAGTGGCACCAGCCTGACCATTTTCTGTGAATGTCTTTGGTGGAAACTCACTGCTCAACATGGAGCTCTACTTTGGAAGCCTAGAAACAAGCATCTGGGGAAGACTTTAAGTTTTTCTGAGTCCTGCGGCTTCTGAGTCTCTGCAGGGCTAGTGGAAAGGGCTCTAGAAGGTTCTGGAAGTCAAGATTCTGAGTAGCTGCTTTTGAATAATGGAATCCTCAGGGCCTTGCGAAATGAATGCCAAAGGTGAGTGCCTGATCGGTTTTACGTGCTGGTTTTCCTTCTGTAACATGGAGATGGCGGTGTCGTAATTAGTTGCTCACTGCTTCCATTCGGCACCTGCTTGCTTGTGGGGCACCCACAATAGGTCTCCTTCTGAATGCACAAAGATGGGCGGGGGAGGAAGCCTGTCCTTGGATTGCGGAGGCCTCGGGAGATAAAGCTCAGACAAGGAAGACAGTGACTGGATCTGAGAGCCCGTGGCCGCTGTGATTAGGAGCCTCAAAGGCGGGACACAGAGGCTGTAGTTGCCTGTCCCGTCCGTAATCCAGAGCACGTCTCCCTCCTCATCCCGGAGAAAAGGCTGCTCGTGAGCCTGGCTGGTTCTGAAGACTCAGGCTCCGGGAACCCAGCCCCTGTGAGTGGCTGGAGCGTGGGGGTGAGGGTGGGGTGTCAGCAGAGTCGGGGACAGTCTGGGGGTCTTGGAAGGTGATATGAAAGTGAAAGTAGGTGTGATCAACTGTTCTTGGTTTGCCTAAGACTAAGAGGTTTCCTGGGGTTTGGGATTTTCAAGGTTAAAATCTGGATGGTGTGCGTCAAATCAGGATAAATTGGTCATCCTAGGTCAAAGTCATGCTGCTTTGACTGTGCACTGGGCGGTCGGGTCATTGGTAGAAGGAGTAAAGGGGGATCGTCTCTCCCCTGAGCCTTGGTGCACCCTCAGATTAGACTGTCCCTTCTCAGTGTTCCCAGAGCCCTTGTGCTGTCCTCCAAGGGTCTGTGTGCCCCCCAAGAGTCTGTGAAGGCAGAAAATCCCCTTGGACTTGGGGCCAACCCCTGCCTGCTCTGGGCCAGAGTGTTTCGTAAATGCTGTTGGATGAATGAATGAGGCTTGAGACTTTCCACCTTTGTTTCTTCCCCGCTGGGGACAAACTATCAGATGCTAATTCATGCTTTGCTGCTCTGCACATCTTGTTCCTTCCCCCCACGTCCTTCCCTCCTGCGGCCACCTCCTTCCCTGTCCCTTCAGCTCAAGAGTCTCCTCCTCTGCGACTGCTCCTAGCCAGCCCTTCCTCTGAGTGAGTTTCTCCCACCCCTGCTGTGTTCCCTCTGAACCGAACCTCACTCAGCTCCCTAATCCGGCCTGTTTGTGGATGCATCGTTCTCCCGCATGCGCTGTGAGCTCCTCGAGGGCAGGTCTCCAGTTTAGTGTTTCTTCTGCTGTACATGGCGCCTGGACACCCCATGGAGGTGTGGAGAGAATGAATGGAGCCGAACACACGGAGCAAAGATCTGTTCCTTCCCTCACTCACCAGCTCCTTGGTGAGGTACCAGCTCCTGGATGACAGGCACAGTCCTGGGCAGTGGGGTAGGAGTCCTGGGCAAGATTGGTAAAGCCTTTGCGCTGATGGAACTCACATTCTAGAAGGATCTAGTCAACAAGCAAGCAAATAAACATATCAGAAGGTTGCATGTGCTCCGAAGAGGATACAAAGGAGAAGGTGAGTCATCCGAGCCCCTGCCAACTGCTTGCAGGCCGGGGTGGAGTCGCCAGCTCCACGGAGGGGACATCGCTGAGGCCCAGCACATGTGGTGCCCATTCTGTGGAGGCAGAAGGCATGCATTGTCCCCGGGTCATACTGTAGTCAACTTGGGCACAGTGGCATTTGCCTTTCATGCAAAGCGTGTGGACCAACAGTCCCCTTAGAGAAATTCATTAAAGCCAGTATTGTCTGAGAGGAGGAAAAATATATTTTAGAAAGTCAGGCGGGGTTTTGTGCCTGGTGTGGGAAGCAAGCGTGTGTCCCTTCTGCTTCACTGCCCCCCTCCCCCACCGGGAGTACAAAGAATGGGGCTCACGTGTTGACTGTCCACTTCTGCCAGTTGGGTGGGTGCCCTTGGAGCTGTAGCAGCAGCAGGAAGGGTCAGGGACTCTGCTATGGGACTGCTGGGGACAACCCAGGGTGCTGCTAAGGAAAAGGTGTGAAAATGGCTGGCTGCCATCCTGCGGGCTGTCAGGGAGAGGATCAGCGGGGATCACAAAGGTGGTTGCTCAGCTTCCAAGCACTGCACACAACAGTGGGGCATTGTTCTCTGGTTCTGATGGGAAGCTTAGCCCCGGCCACAGGCCAGCTCTAGGAGGAAGGCAGCCTCCTCCCACTGAGTGCCGTGCGGCCAAAGCAGAGTCCCAGAGGGCGGCTTCTCCCTGCTGCCTGGCTGCGGGCGGCCACTAGTGCTGAGGTCTGGGGACTCAAGAGGACATCTACGAGTCTGCAGGTAGCCCCTTCATGTAGGGACCCGCAAACAGCAGCAAGACAAAAGGCAGTTCCTAGGCTGGGTGCCTGGCTTCTCACAGGCACATCGCAAACCTGGCGTCTCAAGGTTCTGGCAGGAACAAGCATGTACTAATTATAACCTACACAGCCTGTTAACCATTGACCTTGGATTCCAAGGAGGTGAAGGTTCTGGGGAGAAGGTCTTAAGGGTTCTCTGTAAAACAGGAAGTAGGCCAGGCGTGGTGGTTCACACCTGCAATCCCAGCACTTTGGGAGGCCGAGGTGGGTGGATCATCTGAGGTCAAGAGTTCAAAACCAGCCTGACCAACATGGTGAAACCCCCTCTGTACTAAAAATACAAAAATTAGTCGGGCATGGTGGTGGGTGCCTGTAATTCCAGTTACTCGGGAGGCTGACACAGGAGACTTGCTTGAACCTGGGAGGTAAAGGTTGCCGTGAGCCAAGATTGCACCATTGCACTCCAGCCTGGGCAACAAGAGTGAAACTCCATCTCAAAAATAAATAAATAAATTAAAAAAGACAGAAGTTAGTGATACAGGAAGCAGACTCTTCTAGGTAGCTCAGTGGACATCATCCTGCAGCCCCAGCTGAATGAGGACAATTTAAAACCTTCTGGGTTCTGCTAAGGGACTGTGGGGGAGAACCAGAGGGCAGGATTGCTTGCTGTGTGATCTTGGGCACATTACTTAACCACTTTGAATCTAACCTCAACTTCTTTATCTACAAAAAGATCCTATTTAATGGTGGGTGGGAGGACTCAATGAGCTGATGTGTACAAACATCTAACACGGTATCCGACACCTGGTGGGTACTTAGGAATGTTAGTTCCCAGTCCTCTATACTATGAAAAATCCTGGAAGGCTTTCTGGAGGTGGTGATGCCAAAGCTGATGGGTGAATGTAGCCAGGCAAAGAAAGGTGGAGGGACCAGCAGGAGCAAAGACCAAAGGGAGAAATGATGTGTTCCGGGAACCACAGGCGGCTCCTGCTGCAAGCAGAGGAGGCAGGAAGTAGGGGAGGCTGAGGCTGTAGAGATGGATGGAGAAGGACTTTGAATACCCTGTTAAGCATCTTGGACTTTCTTGGGTAGAGGCTGTGAAACATGGGAGGCGTTCATTCAGAAAAGCCTTTGACTCTGAGCCTTTAGATGCTCCTTTCTGCCAAGATAGTCTGGTCCCCCTGCCTCCTGCAAAACTGGCAGATTTCCTGGAAAATGAATGGAAGCATCCTCGTGCCTGAGCCTCTGGAGCCAGGCATGGATTTGGCTCTGCCACCCAAGGGCCCAAGCACTGCAGGGCCATGGATCTCTCTAGGGGTTCAGGGCCATGGATCTCCCTAGGGGTTCAGTGCGTACAGCTCTGAGATTCACTCCCACCAAGAACTCCCATTGGAAGCAAGCCCTGCCATTTCTCAGGCTGAGGTGCCATTTATGAAATTAAAAGCGAGGTTTGAATGGTTGTATGTTGTTTTTGTAAACCAAAGCTAGAAACTGTAGAGGGTATTGTTTTTTGTTTTTTTTAGCTGGAAAGTAAAGCATGCCAGGCTTCACAGTCAGCCTTGACCTGCTGCCACAGACTCAGGGCCAGCCGGATCCAGCCTGCTGGGGACAGAGAGGTGGCTTCTTTGCATTGAGGGCCTACGGTGCACTAGGCTCGCTCAGGGCCAGGCTCTTTGCATGCTTATGGGTGCCATTGTCATCCTCATTTTACAAATGAGGAAAGTGAGGAACAGAGAGGTAAATATCCTTGACTGAGTCACACAGCTAGTAGATGAGAAGTCAGACGCAGTCCTATTCTGTCCGTACCTCAAAGTCTATACCTTTTCAGTCTCATCTAATTTGAATGCTGGACTTCATACTCAACATTTTCTGAAAGTCTGGTAGAACTATGAAATCTTTTGATTTGTAGGCTGGGCGCAGTGGCTCACACCTGTAATTCCAGAACTTTGGGAGGCTGAGATGGGTGGATCACTTGAGTTCAGGAGTTCCAGACCAGCCTGGCTAACATGGTGAAACTCTGTCTCTACTAAAAATGCAAAAATTAGCTGGGTGTGGTGGCATGCACCTGTAATCCCAGCTACATGGGAGGCTGAGGCAGGAGAATTGCTTGAACACAGGAGGCGGAGGTTGTAGTGAACCAAGATTACTCCATTGTGCTCCATCCAGCCTGGGTGACAGAGTGAGACTCTGTCTCAAAAAAAAAAAAAAAATTTAATTTGTGATTAAAATGTAACTTTAAAAGCCTCTAATTAAAAATAAAATGTTAATACCGCTTTAAGGAAATTGAAATCTTAGAAATGTACCCATGATTTCACTGCTCTATGATGCTACTTTTTTCCTTTTTTTTTTTTTTTTTTTAGGAGATATCTTGCCCTGTCACCCAGGCTGGAGGGATTCTGGGCTCAAGAGACCTTTCTGCCTAAGCCTCTTGAGTGGTCGGGATGACAGGCACGTGGCCCTGCATCCGGCTTCATTCTTCATCTTTTTTGACAGTTTTTGCATGATTTGCACAGGAGGGGTTGGCCAGCTGTGGCCTGCTGGTCAAGTGCCACCTGTTTTTGTAAATAAAGTTTTGTTGGAACACAGCCATGCTCATTTGTTTACATGCTCTGTGAGGCTGTTTTCCGGCTGCCATGACAGATTTGAGGAGCTGTGACAGAGACTATATGGCTTGCAAAGTCTAAAGGCTTTCTCTCTGACCGTCTCCAGAAAACGTTTGCCAATGCTTGTTCT